CCTAGAACAATCCAGTAAAATATTTCTGGCTGCCTTTGATATGTGAAGGTCCAGGGGAAAAAATGCAGATTTGGTAAATAAGTCACCGGTAAAATGCACAATCCCGAATTTTTTAGATTTTAAAATAAGGAAGCTAGTGGTTCCGGGCGCTACACGACACGTGGCTGCATTTCAGTGTTATAACGAAAGTTCGCACAAACATGGTAGTCATTCCTCAAAATATAGAAATGCAACAAAATCCCTCCAACAAAATCTAAAAAAAAAGTGGGCCAGCAAGTCACTGTCACACCCTCAGCACTTCCCAAACGACAAAAAATATCATTCACAACAATGGAAACGGCAAAGAAAAACGCAGTATGGGAGCAAACGTGTGGTCCACCTAGCATTCCCCATAAAAGCATTTGGAGGGGCATGAGCCAGAATCAGCAGCCGCAGGGCGACCACTACATAAAATACTAGACATAGCACCCTCTGAAAAGATGCGAGTTGCGCTGGCGGCGTGAGAGTGTGCTACGATGGGACATAAAGGCCGATGAAAATCGAAGTCAACACATTTCGAATGTACATGAAAGTGGCCGAAGTGCTAGCACGTGAAACAGCAACCACTCCGCAGTGGCAGGTCTTTTAAAGGCTGCCTTTCCCAAGTGAGGGGGTTTGACTTTCCCGTGCGAGCCAGTACTTTTTATTAGCGCAGGGACGAACGAAAGGATCATGAAGGGAATCGTTCCTGAAGACGCTAACGGAGTCCCTTTCCGGAAATGGTTGTGGACGAGGAAGGAATCGAGCCACCACCGCGCTGGCTCGCTTCTGAGCAATCCCCACAAGAGAGTGCTATCGGCAATTCCGCCAACAAGTGGTTGCTGTTGCACGCGCTACCATTCGGCCACTTCCAAGTATTTGTGCCTCTGGAAATGGATGAATTCCGGGAGCTGCTTTCAAATTACTCAACTCCCTTCCCAGCTCCCTCTAATCATCCCACCCCATCCTTCCGCTTCCCCATCTCTGCTTCTTCACCCAGTTAAAAAAACAACTAAAATAATAAGCCGCTGTGGGGTTTCACAAAAATAAAATGCGCTAGTGATTTACTGACACCAGCGAAAACGAAACACAATGTCGATACTGCTCTGCAACATCAAAAAATAAAAAAAAAAAAAAAGAAAAAAAGGAAAAAATCAACATCAGACTGGCGGCTTTTCGCTCAATCTAGTCATCATTATCTTCCCCGGCATCATCCGCTTCTTCCAGTTCGTCATCATAGTTTTCATCCTCATTGTCCGATCCACCCCCAAGTTCTTCCGAGTCTGACACCAGAAAGTAATGCAGCGGATTTGGCCAGAGATCATCCTTTATAACCTGAAGCAAACGTTCATGCCGAAAAAAAAATGCAAAACGATAAAAAAAAAGAGGGAAAAACAACTCATTACTTGGAAAATAAGAAAAAAACTTGCTGCCTGCAATCAATCCTGCCGCTACGGAAACCAATTTTCCTGAATTCTCTTGAAGGTAAGTTGGTGCAGGTGTGCCTGCAGTAAATTACAGAGTTAAGGTGCTTTTAGTTTTCTTCTCAAGCAACCACCGGAACTTCCAATAGAGTCTAGTTTGCTACTGCCAAATCGATGCCATATGCACTATTTCTAAGTTCTTCCCTTCTGAACAAAGTGCGAAACATGGGTGAAGCCTTCGAAATGTGGAAGTTAAACTAAAAACCTCCCAAACAGAAAGCAAACAAACTTCAGCGGTCTGATCGTTCGCTGCATCACCATTCTCTGCCAGCCAAGTGAAAAACGATTTTCGTATTGGAGCGCAGCACTCGCTTCCCTTGGACTTCTATAAGCAGATCTGTCTCAGTCAAACGTGTAAACAAAGATTAAAGGAGAAGCAGATTTCTCTTCTTACCTTTCTTCCCCTTACTTAAGCCATTCTTCACCAAGCAATTTATGCTAAAGTTGAAATAAAAAGCAATCGTTTTCAGAATATCTCAAAGCGGTGAAGGGGGACGGGGGGGAGGGGAAACCGCGCTTTAAATGAAATATAGGCAACTAGAAAAACCCCGTATGTGAGTGTGTGAACAGAAAAGGCAATTCGCTGAAGCCAGTGGTCCAGAAACCTTGGTGAGATCGTTGTCCGGCTTCCATTTGATTTCAGTTGTCGTGCACGTCGGTTCCAAATTACCCAGTGAAAACTCCTTCACAATCTGTGTGTTTTCAAAGAACGGATTGTCGTCGAACGTCAGCTTGATCCTGTATCCGGATTTGATGTCGTCGAATTCCTCTACCTCAAAACACACTCGCATTATCTGCGCATTGCCATTATGAAAGCTCGTATTAATGGATATTTCAAAAAAAAAACATCAAATGAGAAATGTAAGATGAACGAAACGAACCTCAACTGTTGTCAGGTAGTGCAGACATTCTTCCTCTTCTTCAGTCAGTATCACACCGATGTGCGGGTGGTTAACAAACTGAAAAAAAACCAACGGTGCCATGCAGTGGATTTCGAAGGTTCCCGAAAATGCAAAGCGCAAAAAAAAAAAGAAATATCACAGTTTGTTCCATAAAAACCGGGAATTTCATACAGCAATAAAAAGCAGAAGCAAAAAACAAAGCACTGGCTAACAACTGATTACACGCAAGTTTATTCTGGCGAGGGAAACGTGATAATCATGGTCCCCTTTAGAAGAGCAAAGAGAAAAGCGAACAGCAGCAACCTGATCGAGGTGATGAAGCATCGAGTAACAATGAAGGTAATGAGTTGTTGGTGCAAAGGTGCATTACGAATACATGACCAGTTAGTGCCGGAACGAAAATCTACGAAGAAAATTTAAGAAATGAGACGACACTGAGGCTGCCATATTTCACACTTACCCCCCAATTCCCCCCTC